GATGACTTCTGTTTTGTGTGATTTGTGTTAGGGATTAGCAGTAATGTAAATAAAGCCTCTTGCACAATGCAGGTACTCAGGAAAAGAAGTTATTTAGAAACTGGTAAGATTGGATTTTGTACTTTGCTTTTGACACAGACCACAATTTAGTGAGAATGTTCTAGAAAGGATTTAAGCCTTGATTTGGAGGTTGGAAGAAATGACTTTCCTTATCTCCTAAACCCCTTAATAAATACTTTTGGCTGTATTTCGTGACGTTTAGCCTGTGGTGAATCTTTAAAAAGGATAGAATTCAAACATTTGTTGATAATCTGCTATATGGTAGGCACTAGTATCTTAAAAGAAAAAGATTAAAAGATAATTAAATAAAAAAGAATGAAAAAGAAAAAAAAAAGATCTGCCTGTAGTCCTAGCAGTTTGGGAGACTAAAGCAGGTGGATCACTTGAGCCCAGGAGTTTGAGACCAGCCTGGGCAACATGGCAAAACCCTATTTCTACAAAAATTAGCCGGGCATGATGGCATGCTTGTAAGTCCCAACTACTTGGGAGGTTGAGGTGAGAGGACTGCTTGAGCCTGAGAGCTTGAGGCTGCAGTGAGCCACAGTCGTGCCATTCATTGCACTTCAGCCTGGGCTGCAGAGTGAGACCCTGTCCCAGAAAAATGAAACAAGAAAAAAAAATCCCATTTCTATCTAAGTGTTAACAGATTAGTTGGGAAGAAAGGTGTTTTCCTGACTGTAACTCAAGTGATGAGTGCTGGGATAACAGTGAAAACTGAGAAGATTTAGATCTTAATTCTGACTGCATAAAAAGGTGATTTGAAGTAGACCATAATAGATGAGTAAAATGTTGCAGGTATTCAAGATAGTATAAGCAAAAAATGCATGCTAGGACTAACATACATAGTACATAAGACTGTGAATGCCTACCAGTTAGGAAACAGCTTGGTGTGGGCATAGGGGAAACAGGTTAGAAAGGTAGTTTGTGGCTTTCGTTAGTATGAGACTCATACTCATTAGTGTACTCATCTCATACTAATGTCTTTTTTCTGTAGATGAGTCTGTGATGACAGAGTAGTATGAAATTAGCTACAGCTGTCAAGATGATCTAGTTTCACTTACCGCTTGAGAAACTATGGTGCAGATAGAATGAAACAGCCAAGTCCCATGGCTAGTTACTCATAGAACCAAGGCCTAGTCCAGGCTTCATTTTAGGAGATGTACTTGAGATGGTGAGAAAAAAGGTCAGACCAACCACAGTAACTGCTTTAATAATCTAGGTGGAAAATCTCGAGGACCTTATTAAGACTAAGTGAGGAAGTTCTGAAGGTTTGTAAAAGTTAAGATTTGGTGGAGAAGTTGAAGATGCCATAGCTTCTAATCTGCATCAATGAAGGTTTATGTCATTGTAAAAAGATGGTAACATCTGTTTTGAAAGATACGTATTGTTTGCAGACAGACTTGAAAGTCTGATTCTGACATATTTAAGTTGTTGAAAGAATCAGATGAAATGTGCTTAAAATTTTCTTCTAAACTGGAAAGCATAATATAAAGTGAAAGCCCTATCCATTGCCATTAGTATGCCTGCTTGTAATGCCATTAAGCAATAGTCAAGAATTACTCATGAAAAGTAAAGTTGTTTCAAGTGAAGCTCAGATGATGCTATAAAAACCTGAAGAATGTTTTGTAGGTAGCAATTTTAATTTGTAGAACCCCAGGACTGAAACCCCTTGGGCTGAAAGCCCTGCTGGTTGTAGGTAGGTGATCTACATTTCATTTGTAGTGTAGCGTCTTTAGAGTAATTCTCAGTCATGGGAAATGACAGTCAGTGAATGGCTATTAATTGGTTTGATTATAATTTGTGGTACAGTAATCCTAAGTAAGGGCTAATCTCTTGCAAAATACTAGTAACCTTAATTTCATAGAAGAAAGCTTAGGAGTCTAGTCTCGGAATGTTATTCAAAGTTGACAGCATATTCTGACCATAGAAGTTTATAAAAGTGACATTTTGGGGTTATAAATCTTCAGAATATGGAGGTAAACTTACACTCTATATGCAGTATTACATGATTGTAGAATCCCATCCTATTTTTCTCCCAAGAGTAGTGGTCAGTTAGCTTCTTTTCACCTACTTTAGTTTGGGGTACCTTATGATACCCTATTAAGGGTGATGATAATTATATTGTAAAAAGAGGAAAAAGGGACTACTCTAGGTTAGTCTATTTTCTTGAAAGATTTTTACTGATTTGAGTTTTGGATATGGTAGGAAAGTGTTACTTAACCCCAGAAGAATGTGTACATCTGTCTATTCACTTGGGTACAGACTTTAAGGGCCTTTTGATGTAGAGGACCAGTTATTTAAACAATTAGATTTAGATTATGGAATTCAGTGTGTTTTTCTTAACTATGAACAGATGGACTTATTTTGAGTCACTTGCCAAATGGCCCAACTGCTCATTTTAAAATGAGCAGTGTTCGTCTTCGTAAAGAAATTAAGGTAAGTTTTATGCATTCCTTGATTGCAGTTGGTCTCTTCACAGTATTTAATAGTTGCTGTATCTTACAGCTCTGATTTAATAATGGCATTTGTTCCAATTAAAGCAGTTTTAATCTATCAGTTTTCTTAGGAGACTGACTAAGTTACAGCCAGCAGGCAATAGCCCTCCATTATTATGAAGCATGTTGATTTTCTAATAGAACTTTTTTTTGTTGCATTCACTGCATATTAAAATCATTTTAGATATATCTTAATTCATGGGTTTGATAAGCCATCTGTTGTAGTTGGTCATTAAAGATGAATTTTGCAAATTTGTCATGTAAATTTTGATACTTAAAATTGCATTGAGAGGTATTGCCAATTAGCTTAGCTCATTGTGCTATTTTTCGTTATTTTTCTAGAGAAGAGGTAAGGACCCTACAGAACACATACCTGAAATAATTCTGAATAATTTTACAACACGGCTGGGTCATTCAATTGGACGTATGTTTGCATCTCTCTTTCCTCATAATCCTCAATTTATCGGAAGGCAGGTTGCCACATTCCATAATCAACGGGATTATATATTCTTCAGATTTCACAGGTGAGGAAGGTAAACTCATTGGACTTCAATGTTTTCAACATGAACTAATTTTCCAATATATTGTAGCAGGTATCATACAGGATACAATTATCTTTTGAACCCTGTCATAATGTTAAACAATAGCTCATTCAGACCAATTTAACTTTTTGTCTTTGAAGATACATATTCAGGAGTGAAAAGAAAGTGGGAATTCAGGAACTTGGACCACGTTTTACCTTAAAATTAAGGTCTCTTCAGAAAGGAACCTTTGATTCTAAATATGGGGAGTATGAATGGGTCCATAAGGTATGTGCTTATTGTTTAAAAAAACTAAGTAATTTTAAAAGTATGGGATAAGAGGGCAGGAGGAGAGTGAGCATTAGGAAGAATAGCTAATGAAGTAGGCAATGGAATGATCTGTTCAGCAAACCACTATGACATGTTTACTTATGTAACAATCCTGCACATCCTGCACATGCACCCCTGAACTGAAAACCATGTGATACAATATCTGGGTCTGGTGATTAACCTTGGTTCATCTGAAATATAAACAATGGTTCTCAAAGTGGGACCAGCACCATTACCTAGGAACCTGTTAGGAATGAAAATTCTTTGGCCTGCAGACCTACTGGATCAGCAACTTACTTAGGGGGTGGGGCCCAGCAATCTGTTTTTATAAGCCTGTGTTATATGCAGCTCTTCTGCATGTTTCTTGAGAACTATTGTTAGAAATTTGGAGATCATCATCTTAAAGTACAAATGAAAACTTTAATGTTTTAAAACACCCTTTTCTATCTACTATAAGCAGTACTTCACTTGGTAACATTTTATTAAAATCACACACAAAGCCAGCGTCTTACATTAGACAGAAGACCATTCGGGGTCTCACACAAACGCAGTTTTTCCGCACTAGTGTTACCTATAAAGATCTAGGGACATTGACTTTTACTATCTTTTGTTATCTATTGTTCATTATATTTTTGTTTTCTTTTCTCCCTCCACTCCCCACCTTTCCACTTTCAATCAGCCCCGGGAAATGGATACAAGTAGAAGAAAATTCCATTTATAAAGTACTGAGAGAATACTACTGGATTTTGCTGAACAGGCCTATCTTGCTTGGTAAATTATTTTTGACAGAATACTCTTCGAAATGGCATTTGCTGATTTCATAAACCTTTCATGTCTGGACAGACTACCAAATGCCATAAATTGACACTGTGTGTTTATGTAAAAAATACAAATAAAAGTTATTTTGGTGATGGCTTAGGTTTAATTCTCTTGTTCTTGGGTAACGGTGAATAAGTTGGAATCAAGATTCAGATTAACTTTTCTATTTGCATTTGCATGGAACACATGAGAGGAATAAAATGATAAATACTAGCTAATCCTTGATTTTTATAATATTTTTTAAAAAAATTAATAGAATTTTTGGATTTTTATTAATCCAGTGTCTGGCACATAGTATAAATAACTTAAATGGAGGCCAGGTTTCTGAATGTTTTAACATTGTCTTAAACTTTCAGAAGGGTAAAAAAATTACAGCAAAATGATCTACCAAGGTTTAAAGCAAAGTTGCAAATTACTGAAGCTAATCTTTGCTTCCTGGTTTGGGGTGTTTTTTGTTTTTTGTTTTCATGGCCAGGTTGCGGGGGGAACTCTCGTACCTGGTGCTGTAGTACTCCATTCAGGCACTGAAACAAAGTTAACCCTATAAATAAGGCATTAATGGAAACTGTAGAACATAACAGCCTCCTCCTGACCTGAAAAGAACAAAGGTTCACAGTTTACCTTTAATTCCCTAGCAGTCTTGCCAGATGTATGGCATAAGTCATATGATAAGAGTAGGTGGAACAAACTCTACAGACTTAACCCCTTCAGGTGTTCAGAACAGATTAATAAACCATGTATTTAATACCAATAATGCAAACAAAACAAAACAAAAAAACGTTTCATACTAAGTTTTATTGTATGCTGCTGCCAGTGTATATAAAACAATTACCCTTGGGAAATAGAAATTCATGAAAATTCGGAGAGGTAGATGTTAAGGACTGACAGAAGTAGAAGTTTGTATATTATGGCACAAGTGTTACAGGGATAAGCTTTTGTACAGGCTTCAAATGGAGCTCTCTTGAATATTCACTGGATCATAAGAAGTGGTTTGGGAAACCTAAGATGGAAAAAAAAAAGGCGAGTTAAACTATCAACATAGTTTCTAATTTTTTTCATGAATAACTTGTTTAAGAAAGAGAAAAAGGATGGTAAATGCCTATGGTGCAGTAACAGTAATCTCTTTCCCTTAATTTTCACAACCAGTCTGATGTGTAAATCATTCCTGTTTTATAAACAGACTTACAGATTAAGATTACTGCCAACATATATTCTGTATATAATAAAAAACGGTTAATAAAGCTCTCTTAAATCAAGGAAAATCTGAACATCCTTAGAAAAATGAGCAAGAGTGTTAGGCAGGGCAGTTTGGCGGTATCTAGTCAAGTAGAAGATGCAACCACACTTCTAGTTCCCTAGATAATCCTAGACATAGAGAAACATGTACAAGGATATTGACTGTATTCGTATTTTAACAGCAATGAACTGGAAACAGCCTAAATATAACTCTGTAGGAGAATGGATAAATAAATGAAGGTTGCCACATATGATGGAATACAAAGCTGTAAGTTGTGCCTTAAAAAACAAAAGTTATGTTGTCAAACCATAAAATACTTCAGTTAATAGAGTATAAACTAAAAAATTTTTTTTAAAATTAAATTAAAGGTATATTAAAAAATTAAAACGAGCATACTAAGTTTAGGTTTTGTTATTGATATGGAAACGTAGAAAGTATTAATTTGAGATACTTTGTAACAAAAATGTTCAAGAGGCATAAACAGAATCAATGTTATGAAAAATGTTTAATCTCACCTAAAATAACAGCAAAAAATGAAGGTTTGTTAGGGCTCAAGGAAAAAGCATTCTCATGTTTCTAGTGGAAGGCCAAAGTATTATATTGGCAGGGGATATCAAGTACAACATTGTAAAAATTTTAAACATTCACTCCTTGTTGACTAATTTTACTTCTAAAAACTAAGGAAAGAGAGGTACTAAGTATACATAGATGTTCATCAAAATCTTCACCTCACTGGAACCTCAAATTTTGGAAACTTAAATATTCAATACAGTATAATTCAGTCATAGTTAATACACGGCTAAAGATCTTGTTTACAAAGAATAATGAAGAAAATTCATTTTAAAAAGGCAGAATGAAAAATGGCAAATACTGATCCTTATTTTTAATTAAAACATTTTTGTGGCACCCATTGTTGCATATGTTTTTAAAAGTGTTTCATACAAAAACTACCTGAATTTTACATATTTCTTCATTGTCAATAAGCCTGTCATCTTCATTTTTTGTGCACACATGTTCTGTTTTAACAGTTTTTAATCCTGTATTATTTCTCCTACTTTGTTTTGTATAAAAGAGGAAAAATTTTGAAAGCTGAAATGTCGAAAAAAAATAAATTCTTCTTAAAAGGAAATAGGGGCCAGGTGCAGTGGCTCACCCATGTAATCCCAGTACTTTGGGAAGCTGAGGTGGGCGGATCACCTGAGGCCAGAGTTGGAGACCAGCCTGACTCACATGGAGAAACCCTGTCTCTACTAAAAATACAAAAAGTAGCTGGGCATGGTGGTGTACACCTGTAATCCAAGCTACTCAGGAGAAACACTTGAATGTGGGAGACAGAGATTGCAGTGAGCCAAGATCACGCCATTGCACTCCAGCCTGGGCAACAAGGGTAAAACTCCGTCTCAAAAAAAAAAAAAAGGAAATACAATTTATTACCAGTGATTATTTCTAGGTGTAATGATCATGGTGATTTCTATTCTTGTATGTCGTGCTGCTAAATCACCTATGTTAAGTTTTACAAGTTACAAAAACCATGTATTTTTAAAACTGTATTTACATACATAACTCCAATGCAAATTCTTAACATTCATGCCACTCAGTGTAGGTCTAGAACCATCAGCATCAGTGTAGGTTGGCAGTTGTAAGAAATGCAAGTTCTAGAGCCTCACCTCAGACCTTCTGAATTAGAATTTGCTTTTTAACAAAGTGATCTGCATATATTCAGGATTGAGAAGCAATGCTTTGATGCCCAAGTATTCTTTCCCTAGCCCAAACTGCTTCAAATCTTAATACCCACAAAGCTGTTTTCTTATAATGCTGGGATAGACTGGAAACATGTACTTATACAGACTTCCTGGACACTCCCAGGCCTATAAAACTTAATTAAGGCACGACTATGTAACAACGTATTTTAGGAAGCAGCTTCCTTGACTTTGCAGGGTCAGAATGTTAGTAAGGGGTGTGTACCATATATAAAATCTTTATTTTTTTTTTTAAGTACTATTTAAGTTTGCTTCTCATAGGTCAACACTAATGAGTACACTCCCTAACTAAAGTACAAAGAATTTATAAAAAGGAATGATCCAAAACGTTTTTGGTCACACCTCTTAGACTAACATACATTTTGTACACATGACATTTGATCTGGAAGTCACAAATTAATGTACTGAAGCATGCTCTAATAAAGCCAGCAGGTCTTTAGTTTTTAATTCTCTGAAATTCAGTCCACTGTCGGTTTGCCACCCAAAACTCATATACTGCATTTCCTTTATGTTTTATCTTTAATCCAACAAATGAGAACAAAACATAAAGCCTGTTCTACCTCAGTCCAAATGCCTGAACCACACTGGCTTTTTCAATTACATCTGATTTTCTCTTGTATTTCCAGTTCCCAATCTTTGCTGTACTGCTGGGTTCAGTCAGAGCAATAACATCAGAATTAATCCAACTCAGATGGTAGTACTTTAAGTCATCCCCCAAAAACATTGCAGATTTTTTTAAGACTGCCTAAATGTTTGCCAGGTACATAAAAACAAAACTAGTACTTGGTGACTCCCAATATACATAGGCCATTAGGTCAATGCTCTAAAAAGTGACACATGGCTTGTTACAGTAGTGGCATTTTGTAGTAACTCTCCTATACCCTATCGCCATTAAATCCTCAATTTATCCATCTTTATGGTAAAATAGAAACAGCCTTCATGACTACTAACTCAGCAAGTTTCATGAATCGTCACTTTGCAAAACAGATAAATGCTGGAAATGGAGGGTCAAAGGAAAGTGCATGGGATGACCTTTTAAGTGCTGCAAAGAGAAGGCTAGTTATTCCTACAATGTCGGCTTTTGTTCTTAAGGAAACTCACCTTTGAAAGATTCATTTTACTACAAAAAGGAACAGACTTTCTGGGGTCTGAAGGGATTTGTACTTGAAGATACTCCAGTCAGCAGAGGATCATGTTGAGCATTCTGCAGACAGAACTGTTTCAAGTCTGCAGCTGCCTGGGAAACCTATATAGAAGACAGAAAGCGGGAAAGTGCCAGGTGGTGAGAACATTTTAATGAAGGTTTTCTCAAATCTCTGGAAATACTGTACTTAGAACATAACAGTACTTCTCTTGCTTCAGAAGAAGATACTATTTAATAATTGAAGACTTAAGTTATATAGTGAGCTCTTTTGTTTGTTTTGAGATGGAGTCTTGCTCTGTCATCAGGCTGGAGTGCAATGGTGCGATCTCAGCTCACTGCAACCTCTGCCTCCCAAGTTTAAATGGTTCTCCTGCCTAAGCCTCCAGGGTAGCTGGGACTATAGGTGGGCACCACCATGCCCAATTTTCCTATTTTTGGTAGAGACGGGGTTTCACTATGCTGGTCAGGATGGTCTCGATCTCTCAACCTTATGATCCACCTTGGCCTCCCAAAGTGCTGAGGTTACAGGTGTGAGCCACGGCACCTGGCCTAGTAAGCTCTTAATACTTAAAACTAATGCTTGTAAATAAGACTGATATGAAGTATATTTTCTTTTGCTTGATTACTAGAAGCAAGAGATGACTGCATACAAACAGTACAATTATGTTTCTTTTTGCAAAGCATAGTACATCTTGCTTATTAGTAATAGGCTGTTCAAGTGCAAACCTGAGGGTAATTAACATCTTGTTTTTATTAAAAGCATTACAGGTTAAACAAAAAGGGCAATAACATTCTAGAAAACTATTACTTTGTCTTGAAAGCAGAATTACTGGAAAAATGCTACTTTGAATAAACATAATGTGGGATAACTAGCACGTAATTTAGAAAACCAAACACTCTAAGAATGCATTCAGTATACCGATCCTCAAACTTGTCAGACCCTTATACTCTCTTTAAACTAAAACAGATTAAAAGAGGCATGCATTCACTCACTTAAACATCTACTATTTGTATATATTCTGCTAAGGTAATGTAGACTATCAACAAAATAACCATAAAGCCATATGTTCCTTAAGTCTTGTTTGGGTGGCTCTGTATATGTATATTAACACTTAAAGTCAGATTTAAGGCAATAGTTTCTTAAAGGCAGGCTGCTTAGAAAAACAAATTGAAGTTTGCTATCAGCCTTTCAGTCAATGACACTGGGCAGAAAACTGTCACTGTCTAGTTTAATAACATTAAAATACTGTTGGTAGGCCGGGCGCGGTGGCTCAAGCCTGTAATCCCAGCACTTTGGGAGGCCGAGGCGGGTGGATCACGAGGTCGAGAGATCGAGACCAACCTGGTCAACAGGGTGAAACCCCGTCTCTACTAAAAATACCAAAAATTAGCTGGGCATGGTGGCGCGTGCCTGTAATCCCAGCTATTCAGGAGGCTGAGGCAGGAGAATTGCCTGAACCCAGGAGGCGGAGGTTGCGGTGAGCCGAGATCGCGCCATTGCACTCCAGCCTGGGTAACAAGAGCGAAACTCCGTCTCAAAAAAAAAAAAAAAAAAAAAAAAAATACTGTTGGTACACAAAACAATGAACTGAACCGTTCAGACATGGAACATGAGTGACTAAAACACTCCAAATGCATCTAATATCTGAAGTCTTGAACTGATCGATTTAAGAAGTGGGAAATATAATCATGCATTTTATTTTCAGTCTTAACTGAGAATAAAGGAGGCTGAGAGCAAGGTGTCCAGTCCATCCAGCTGGATGGGACTTAACAGCATCACAAATGCTCTCTATACCGAGAAACCCTGCAGATTACAGCTATACCTCCGACCTGATCAAATAATTCATCATACTAAGATGAATCTAAATGCTTCTTGACTCTATTTGTGTGTCTGGCTTATACAACAGTCCAGGGTAGTGAGTTCCATAGGTTTATTAGTTCCTTTGTAAAAGCATTTTACTAATGACTACACGCCCCCTTGTCCCCTCCCTTCCAAAGAAGTGTAGCTAAAGTAGGAGGACAGCGGTGTCATTTTTCACCAAATACTATAACAGTGTTTAGTGTTTTCATTCATATTAACAGGAAGCATAAAGAGTACCTGTTAATTTTCTGTTTAAAGTGTAGGTAGGGTCCAGTGTAACTCCTTTTCACAACTTTTCAAGCACCACTATGTGCCACATATAGGTACTGAGAATACGTACAGAGCCCTGTTGTTATGGAGCTGATAGTTCAGAGAAAATGACAGACAAGGTGCACTGTGGTAAAATTCGTAATCTTTTAGATGGTGACTGGGTGGCCACCTAAGGGAAGGTGTCTGAGGTGACATTGAACCTGAGACTCAATGACAAGAGATCCAGCCAAATAACCATCAGTGAGAAATAGCATTCCAGGCAGTGAGGAAAGCTGAGACAAATACTAAAACTGGAACAAGCTGCTAGCCCCCAAGGCACTGTAACAATCACCATCCAGGAGGTAGAAATCCTGCAATCCTGGCCTAATTACTAGTGCCCTTTTCACTCTCAAAAATGTCCAGACATACGTATGACAGTCTGTCAAGCACTTGTGATAAGTTCTGTCAACTGCACTCAAACATACAGGTTAAAAATAAGCTTGTACTAGTTTAAAAATATCACCAAAAACCACCTAGCCCAGTCATTGATAAAACAGATACACAAATGGAACCTAACCACATTTAGCAACACGTCTAACGAAAAGCTCATTTAAAAATCCCAAAGTGAGATGCCCTCCCCTCCTTGCTACAGCCTTAACATCAGCCAGAAATTGAGAACTCCAAAACCAACTCATTTCTGACGGCTTTAATGATCCCGACGAGAAGCCTAGTGAAGATTAAGGTAGAATCAGTTTTGTGGGGTTACGGGAGCAGCAGCTAAGGTTTTCCAGGTAAAGCTCTTGGGAGTATTTTCGTCTGAAAACCTCATGTAATTTTCTTTGGAGACTAAGTGTGTGCAATTCACTGCTTTCACTACCCTGCCCCCGCTTTTTTCTCTCCTGGGCCATCCTATTTATGATAAAGGCACACCTGAATGATACACAATGGTTGTTAAGAAACGCATGATTTCAAATTTCAGAGCCAAATCCAGCCAAGGCTGACTAGAAACCACTGGCACTGGGATAAGGTAAGAATTGGGAGAGTAGAGAAATGGATTCCAAACTGCAGTGAAGTCTACAGCACTTCAAGAAGCTAGAAGTGAGGGGGATCCTACACCAAGACGAATGAGAATTTCCCTTCCCTTCTGAGTTGACCGCAACTGAGTAAGCTAGGTCCTTGACATTTCTAGTTAAGAAAGCTTAGAGACCAGAGACCCTCTCTCATCCACAAAACGTTTCAGGAAGTAATAAAGACTAGCCTAATGAGTATAAAATCCAATCATCCTAGGAACAAGCTGCTTTTAACAGGGCACATGATTTACATTCTTTCTTTTTTTAACTGCAGAAGTGTTTCACATGTAGCCTGACCCATTGTACCAGAAAGAAGCCAATCCATTTAGGACTGTAATAATCAGGAAATACTTAGAATAGCACTTGAACGTCAAGTTGTTCTATCAACACAGACAAAAGGCTTTCCCCCCCAAAGTAAATACCTCAAGACAAAGCCAATACTAACCAGACACCAAAATAAGACCGATAATTACCCACACTACTTTCTTGGGCACGCAGGCGAGTTGGTATCCCCAAGGTCAAATACGAGCAAACTGTGCCATAGGTATGAAATGCACGCTTTGATCGAGTTGTACGGGGCACTGACCAGAACTTTACACTCCAGGAACGTTTCGAAAAATGCTGCTTTAATTCACAGTTTAAGTTATGCAATAATTAGCTTAAAAGCATGTGTTACATGGACAAGAGAAGCCTGAAGGTAAGAATTTGATACCAAAGGAAGCAGGTATGGGAGAGGTAAAATGGGGGGAAAAAGTCTGCTCTGAATCAAAAGTCGGAAAATACCCTGTCCGGGGAGAAACAGGAGGCTGGCAGAGCGGGAAAGGAAGGGTGCGGACCGCGCGCCAAGGCGCAGCTGTTGGCGAGGCCCGCCGAGGAGGCGACCAAGGGAGGTAGAGAGGGAGGAGGACCGGAATGCGGGCCTCGGTTCAGCCAAGGGGCCAGCCCGCCTCGTAAAGTCCTGGGGCGGAAGGGCGGACTAATCGTCCCCCTAAACCACAGCGTAGACCCACGCGGCGCCTTCTCTAAAGCGGGCCGCTCCCGGATCGCGGCCGCCGAAAGCGCGTCCCCTCCAGGGAAATGAGGGCCGTAGCCGCGTGTCCCGCCAGCCCCCGCCACCTGGGCCGCCGGATCCCACCGGCCGCCACCGCCTACCCCTCGCCTCGGCCGCCCGCCCGCCCGCCCCTGCTCACTTTTACGCGGTTGAGCCCGGCCTCCAGCCGGAGCTGTTGAACCACTTTCTTCATAGCGGCGACGCTGGAGGAGCCAGACATGGTGTACTGGAGGGCCCGGCCGATTCGTGGGTCGGTAGGTGGTGGGCCGTGGGTAGACTGGGCCAGACAACTGAGCGGCGCGCGGCGGGGGCGGGGCTCCGAACTTTGTCTCTAAGTTTCCGGTTCTGTGCTCTGCGGCTCCACCCTCGGTGCGCATGCGCGCCTTGCCGGCCTTCTGTTCCAGCTCCTCACTCTGCCCCGAGCACGAGCGTGGAGGAGGGAGAGGAGAAGGGGCGGAGCTGTCCGTGGGCGAGGTGGCTGCTGGAGGCGAGCACGACCCGCCGTAAGTTCTTTCCTCTTCAGAGGGGCCGATTTGGGAGAGGTAAGGCGAGAACTTATTGTTGGCCGCTAACATCTAAGAGGGGTTCTGAAGAGGACCAGTGAGGTGAGTCAGAGCTTGTAGGAGTTTCTAAAAGGCCCAAGCGGCGGGTGACCAGGAGGTCTCAGTTTTTCTCCCGGAGTTTGCTGTAGAGGCCCTCTGAGCGGCGTGAGTCACCCACACACCCCGTCCTGTACAGGCGTGTCTCTCTGAGATGACCACAACTGAGTAAGCTAGGTCTCTGACATTTTTCTAGTTAAGAAAGTTGAGACCAGCGACCCTCTCTGTGACCGGAGTTTGGCCAATGGGCATTCTCAGTGCCCCCCCACCCCCACCGCGCGCAGCCCGGTAGACCGGAGGAGATCGCTGTAGCCGACCCAGCGGAGCCGGGCGGGCGGGGTGCAGGGGCGCTGATTCGCCGGAGAAAAGATCTTCTCGAGGTTTGACTTTACTGGTCTCTTAGCTCTTGAATCGGTTTTCTGAAAGATTGCGAAGAAGCCAAGGTGCTGGCTGATGATTACACCTGTCTACTCTGTTACCCATTTAATCTGGAGAATTAACGCTTACTGTATACAACTTATTTTTGTGTTTCCGGAAAGTTTGCTCCTTAGTATTGTTGTGGTAACTTATTACCTCCTGCTTGAAATTGAGTCCCAAAGAAGTTTTTAGGAGAGGTGGTAGGATCAAACCAAACAAAATAAGCTCAGGTCAGTCTTTCATCCATGGAAATGTGTGTGTTATGTCACAGTATTAAGGGCAAATGTTTTCTATTTATTTTGGGGTAGTCTCCGAATGAATGCGCTGATGTTTTCTATTAAAGTCAGGTGTTTCCTATTTCTTTTGGGGTAGTCAGTCTCCGAATGAATGCGCTGTTTTCTATTAACGTTAATTTCATTATTAATGCATTTCAAATTTTTTGTTAGAAAAGCTTGTGTAATTGCTCTGGTCAACAAAACAATTTATTTATTCAACAGTTTATATCAGTTCACAAAAATATACAGTGTAAGTTTAGCATTTTACTTAATTCGTACCGACGTACTGATTGGGGTTAAAACCAGGGTTTGAATTCTGGCAAGCCACTTAAACTACTGAGGCTTTATTTCCAAAGAAACAATAAAGCTTACTTCGCGGAGTTGTTTTTGAGAATGATGTGATATTTTAGCCAGGCGCGGTGGCTCACGCCTGTAATACCAGCACTTTGGGAGGCCGAGGCGGGTGGATCACGAGGTCAAGAGATCAAGACCATCCTGGTCAACATGGTGAAACCCCGTCTGTACTAAAAATACAAAAAAATTAGCTGGGCATGGTGGCACGTGCCTGTAATCCCAGCTACTCAGGAGGCTGAGACAGGAGAATTGCCTGAACCTGGGAGGTGGAGGTTGCAGTGAGCCGAGATCGCGCCATTGCACTCCAGCCTGGGTAACAAGAGCGAAACTCCGTCTCAAAAAAAAAAAAAAAAAAAGAAAGAAAAAAATTATGATCGGGCGTGGTGGCTCACGCCTGTAATCCCAGCACTTTGGAGGCCAAGGCGGGCGGATCACCTGAGGTTGGGAGTGCAAGACCAGCCTAACCAACATGGTGAAACCCCGTCTTAAAAAAAAAAAAAAAAAAAAGTGATATTTTATATATATAAAGAATATGAAGGATATCTCAATAAATACTGTTTTCCCCAAACGGTATTTTAATTATTTCACCTTTGGTGCTTTGTTGACTGTATAATGCTAAAACGTCATTCATACTTTACAGATTTGTAAGATTAAATAGAAGTATCTTTATTCAAAGAATGATTTATTTTACAGTAGTTTTAGAATATTATCACTGAACTGTTAAGGACTGTGAAATGTTAATGCTGGAAGAGATTTTAGGGAATATATGGTCCAATAATTTCTCCTGTGAGGGAGGCTGTTGAGGAATAAGCAGTGTCTTAGGCCAAAACAATTTCAGAAAAAGTTTTTTTTGTTTGTTTTTTGTTTTGTTTTTTTTTTTTATTAACCGCTGCATTGAGAAACCACAGACTGGACTGCTGTCTAAAACACCAGATAGTAGTTTTTTTTTTTTTTTTTTGGTAGCATGTCTTTAAAGATTCTATGTAGGATAGCAAAGAAGAAGGAAAAAAACCGTTGAGGTCAGACGCGGTGGCTCACGCCTGTAATCCCAGCACTTTGGAAGGCTGAGGTGGGCAAATCATGAGGTCAAGAGATCAAGACCATCCTGGCCAACATGGTAAAACCCCATCTCTACTAAAAAATATAAAAATTAGCTGGGTATGGTAGCCCGTGCCTGTAATCCCAGCTACTCCAGAGGCTGAGGCAGGAAAATCACTTAAACCAGAGAAGTGGAGGTTGTAGCGAGCCAAGATCGCCCCACTGTACTCCAGCCTGGGTGACAGAACAAGACTCTGTCTCAAAAAAAAAAAAAAAAAAAATTTAGTAAACTTTAAGTTCAGTTGTATCTGAAGTGATTAGCTGTAAATATAGTTTATGAACTATCTGTATCTTGTAAACTTTTGTTTAGGAGATGTTCTTTGACCTTCTACAATGCCCTAAAAATTTCAATCATGTTACCAACTGCAGACATAGATGCTCACCGTTCAGTTGGTTGAAGACTGGCCTGTTATAAAAAGAATTTGTCACCAAGGGGATCCTTTTAGCAATAAATGGCAAGAAAAAACAACCAAGTAATCTGTCATTTTATGTTTTGTTAGCAGAACACTATCAATTTAAATTTACCTTAGATCTTCACCTTATTCAACTAATTAGTACCCTAAGTTCTTTAGTTTACTAGGTCTAAATTCAGAATTTGAATAAATAAGATTCACATGCCTTTGTAGTTTAACTAAAGGCTAAATTTCTCCAAAGGGGGATTTCACAATTCTGACTTCTTTCTCAAAGAATGAGCTTATTCTGTTTTTATAATGGTTAAGGAAATTGAAGTTTGGAGGAAAATAATATATACAGTAGTTACACATAAAATACCTAGGAATTAACCAAGGAAGTTAAAGATCTCTACAATGAAAACTGTAAAACACTGATACAAGAAATTGAAGAGAACCCCTCAGAAATGGAAAGATATTCCATGTTTATGTATTGGAAGAATCAATATTGTTAAAATATCTAAACTACCCAAAGCAATCTACAGATTCAATGCAATCTCTATCAAAATACCAATGACATTCTTCACAGAAGTATTAAAAACAATCCTAAAACTTATGCAGAACCATAAACGACCGAGAGTCACCAAAGTTATCATGAGCAAAAAGAATAAAAATGGAGGAATCATGTTACCTGACCTCAAATTATACTACAGAGCTATAGTAACCAAAACAGCATAAAGTACTGGCATAAAAACAGACACATAGACCAGTGGAATAGAATAGAGAACCCAGAAACAAATCCATTCATCTCAGGTGAGCTTGTTTTTTACAAAGGTGCCAAGAACATACATTGGAGAAAGGAAAGTCCCTTCAATAAATAGTTCTGGGAAAACTGAATATCCGTATCAGAAGAATGAAACTAGACCTGTCTCTCTCCTCACGTACCAAAATCAAATCAAAATGGGTTAAAGACTTAAATCTAAGACGTAAAACTATGAAACTACTATAAGAAAACATTGGAGGCAGGGTATGGTGGCTCATACCTGTAATCCCAGCACTTTGAGAGGTTGAGGCAGGTGGATTACCTAAGGTCAGGAGTTTTAGGCCAGCCTGCCCAACATATAGTGAAACCTCATCTCTACTAAAGATACAAAAATTAGCTGGGTGTGGTGGCACACACTTGTAGTCCCAGCTACTTGGGAAGCTGAGGCAGGAGAATGACTTGAATCCAGGAGGCAGAGATTGCGGTAAGCCAAGATCATGCAATTGCATCTAGCCTGGGCAACAGAGTGAGACTCTATCTCTCACCAAAAAAAAAAAAAAAAAAAAAAAAAAAAAAAAAAAAATTCCAGGACATTGGATTGGACAAAGATTTTTTTAAAATAATACCCCACAAGCACAGGCAACAACAGCAAAAATGGACAAATGGGATTACATCAAGTTAAAAACCTGCACAGGGCCAGGCACGGTAGCTTATGCTTGTAATCTAGGCACTTTGGGAGGCTGAAGCAGGTGGATTGCTTGAGCCCAGTAGTTTAATAACAGCCTGGGCAGCATGGCAAAACCCCATCTAGACAAAACTACAAAAAATAGATATGGTGGCATGTACCTGTGGTCCCAGCTACTTGGGAGCCCTCAGAGATCAAGACTGCAGTGAACCATGATCATGCCACTGCACTCCAGCCTGGGCAACAGAGAAGCCCTGTCTCAAAAATAAAAATTAAAATAAAATAAAAACAAAAAACAAAAACTTCTGCACTACAAAGGAGACAATCAGCAAAGTGAAGAGACAACTCACAGAATGGGAAAAAAATATTTGCAAACTATCCATCTGATAAAGGATTTATAACCAGAATCTATAAAGAGCTCAAACAACTATATAGGAAAAAATATAATAATCCATCTTAAAAATGGGCAAAAGAGCTGAATAAATGTTTTTCAAAAGAAGACACGAATGGTAAACAGGTATATGAAATATGAAAAAGTGTTCAACATCACTGATCAGGAGAAATGCGAATCAAAACTACAATGAGATATCTCACCCCAATTAAATTGGCCTTTATGCAAAATATAGGCAATAACAAATGCTGGTGAGGGTGTGGAGAAAAGGGAACCCTTGTACACTGTTGGTGAGAATGTAAATTAGCTGGTCTCCTTGATGGAGACCAGCTTGGAGGTTCCTCAAAAAAACTAAAAATAGAGCTTCAATATGTCCCAGGAATACCACTACTTGATAGAGATCCAAAAGAAAAGAAACCAGTATATCGAGGTATGTGCGCTCCCTTGTTTCCTGCACTGCTATTCACAATAGCTAAGATGTAAAAGCAGCCTACATGTCCATCAACAGATGAATGAGTAAATAAAATGTGGTACAGATACACAATGGAATACTATTCCGCCATAAAAAAGAATGAGATCATTTCATTTGCAACAACATGGGTGGAACTGAAGGTCATTATATTAAGTTAAAAAGCCAGGGACAGAAACATAAACTTCATGTTTTCACTTATTTGGCAGTAAAAATTAAAACATTGGAACTGATGGAGATAGTAGAATGATGGTTACCTGAGGCTAGGAAGGGTAGTAGGTGGGGACTGGGGATGGTTAAAGGGTACAAAAATATAAGTTAGATAAAATGAATAAAATAGTGTTGGATAGTGCGATAATTGTGACTATAGTTAATAATTTATGTATTTTAAAATAAGAGTGTAATTGGATTTTTTGTAACATGAAAGGATAATTGCTTGAGGTCATGGATACCCTATTTACCCTGATGTGATTTTCACACGTTGTATGCCTGTATCAAAATATTTCATGTACCCATAAATATATGTACCTACTACATGCCCACAAAAATCACAAAGTAAAAGAAACCTAACTCTATAATTCATTTTCCAACATAGATTCTAATCCTATATCATTCTGTTACTCTCTGGGAGACCCTCTCCCACCCTAAAATGTCTTAATGTATCCTGAAAATATTTCAAATCAAGACAAGTATGCCATTTTGTCTACATTAGGACTTGTATAGAAAACAAACCTCATTCCTCAATTGGTTCTACAAGTATGACTACTATAAATGCTTATAGATTTTGGAGTGCCCGCAGGCATTTCAGGCATTTTAATCTATTTACCTAAAACAGATTACCCTTTAAATGGATTAGAATTTTCAGTCCCCGTGGCTCACACCTGTAATCACAGCACTTTGGGAGGCTGAGGCAGGTGGATCACCTGAGGTGGTGAGTTCAATATGAGACCAACCTGACCAACATGGAGAAACCCCATCTCTATTAAAAATACAAAATTAGCTGGGCGTGGTATCGGGTGCCTGTAATCCCAGTTACTCGGGAGGCTGAGGCAGGAGAATCACTTGAACCTGGGAGGCAGAGATTTCGGTGAGCCGAGATCAAGCCACTGTACTCCAGCCTGGGCAACAAGAGTGAAACTCCGTCTCAAAAAAAAAAACCAAATGGATTACAATTTTATTTACAGCTTAACCAGGAATCAAAGCAGAACTCCTAGGACATATATGTAACCTGAATTTATCCTGATCAGATAGATTTCATGCCTTGGTGATTTAAGAATCAGGAATTGTGCCAAAAAATTCTCTCATCGTCTGGTGTGAAGTTGACCATATTTTGATTTTTTAATTCCAGACTGTAAGTTTCCCTGTCACTTCTTGCATTTCTTGAGTAATCAAAAAATTTTAGAGCTGCAAAGGTTCTTGAAGAGTTCAAGTCACTTACCACTAAGAAACTGACACTCAGACCAATGAATGGTTTTACAGGTCATAAGGGACTAGAAACCTACTTTTCTGGCTCCCAATCAATCTGATTATCTTGTGTGAGATTCTACTTTATTGGTATATTTAAACATAGCCCATGTCAGCATTTATTAAGTGCTGGTGCTTAGTTATAAACATGAATCAGCTATGTTACTTCCTCTATTTGCTTCTCACTACCAGCTTACTTAGTCATTTTCTCTATTCTTTATCTTTTTCTATCTCTCTATAAATATGTATAGCTTTCCCATAATACGGGCTTGCCTCATGGCTGTGATACTACCCCATGACTTCTCTTTTTTATATTCTTATTTAAAATGTCAAAATTATTAAATGTCAGCATTTATTAAAGTACATTGAGCATATCTAAAAGGGATCCCAATACTAGCAGAAGAAAAAAAAGTACATTGAGCAATCTTTGTATGCCATATTATCAAATCAAACAGGAAATAAAAATGACTAGAATCATTATTTTTAGTATCAGAAGTTCTTAAGCTTGATTTTCAGCTCTGCTTCTGACATTGAAAATCATTTTCGAAAAGTGTAGAGAAAACATGATAGATAACTATTTTGAAAGGAGAGACTAGATCAGAAATGGCAGATAGGTGATACATCTACCAACAGTTACTCTTCAAATGCATAGTTGACTGTGATAATTCAATTCTGTACTGTTTCCTTCTGAGATTTAGCCTTGGATCCTACTTAGTAATTCACTTTTAGATAGTACCAAGTAATGGGAATTAGCATGCACAATAAAATTGATTTTCCATTCCTGGCAGCAGAGTTGTAAAGCAAAATTATGTAATAAATGAAAGATTAGATCAGAACTTCATAGTCACTTTATTTTTGGTTATTGAGATATCAGTCTCCTTTTGTTGAATTGTTGGCATTATTTGGTTCATTAGCTAATTAGTAATAGGAAAAAAATTTGAAAATTCCACTTTACGTGTTAGGATATAGTATATGATTTAGTAAATTCTAAGCATGCCTAAAGTTTTAATTAGCTTCCTGTGGTTTCAGTAGCAAAGACTTACTCAAGTTACCATAAGCAATGAGGAGATTATTGTAAAAATCAACGCAGAGCAGCAGTGGAGGCACATATCCCATGTAAATCCCAAAACAAAACTGTCACGCTAATAGGCCAAATTGGAAGTAGATCTAAGGCTAGAGACTTCAGCCCCAAGAATTCTTGATTCTTCCTTTCTGGTGCTTAGTTAGAAACATGAATCAGCTATGTTATTTCCTTCGTTTGCTTCTCACTACCAGTTTACTTAGTCATTTTCTCTATTCTTTATCTTTTTCTGTCTCTCTGTATGTATAGCTTTCCCATAACATGGGCTTGCCTCATGGCTAGGATACTACCCCATGACTTCTCTTTTTTATATTCTTACTAATAATGTCTGCTAATGCTTGACTCTTAAGCTGTTTCCCAGGTCCAATTCCCAAGGGATTGTCTTTTCATGTCGTAACATTTTGTTTCTGGTCAGCCCAGGATTTGGACTCCATCATTGGTCCCATCAGAAATGATAAAGGGAGTTTTTAAAATCCCAAACGTGGCTTCTTTGCCATTACTTTAGAAGGGATACTATAGGTATCTTTTACCCAGAATGCTCTGGGTCAGAAATGTTTCAGATTCCAGATTTTTTCAAATTTTGGGATATTTACATTATATACTTACTCATTGGACAACCTTAAACCAAAATCCAAAATGCACCAATGAGCATTTCCTTGGAGCACCGTGTCAGCAGCATTCAAAAAGTTTCAGACTTTGGAGCATTTCAGATTTCAGATTTTAAAATTAGGGATACTCAACCTATATAGTGGAGTCCTGGTTTACCACAGGACAACAATAAAGCAGGTCTTGATTGATCTATCTTGAGTTTGCATAATTAAAAATTTGTTCTGGGCCTCGCACAGTGGGTGGCTCACTCCTGTAATCCCAGCAGTTTGGGAGGCCCAGACAGGCGGATCATTTGAGGTCAGTAGTTGAAGTCCAGCCTGGCCAACATGGTGAAAGCCTGTCTCTACCGAAAATACAAAAATTAACTGGGTGTGGTGGCACAGGCCTGTAATCTCAGCTACTTGGGAGGCTGAGGCAGGAGAATTGCTTGAACCTGGGAGACAGAAGCTGCAGTGAGCTGAGATTGTGCCACTGCACTCCAGCCTGGGCAACACAGGGAGACTCTGTCTCAAAGAAAAAAATTGTTCTGAATTAAAATATCAAATTTTAATATGTAACAGAAATTAAAACTTTTAGCCTACTAATTTACATACTAGTGAATCAATGAATGTCCATATGCTATAATTATTATGGATTAATTCTTATCTAATAATGAAGTGACTATATATGTATCTGAGTCATGTTTCGCCTAGGTTCACAATAGAGGTTAATATTAATACAATGGCATATAGAGTTTTTGGATAGATCTATAAATACTTTCTTAAAGTACCAATGTGTTCTTAAAATAGCGTTTGACATGGTCAAAATGACTAAGCACATTTTAATTGTAAGAAATATAAGAAGTAATATGCAAAACTAAGGAGATTGTATATTTCAGGAAATAATCTTTTAATTTTGATACTATTAAAACTATTAGTAGTACTTGTTAGGGTTTTGTAGAGCTGTAATCAATACCAGCTCAGAGGAATTTTAAGTTTTGTTAGATTTAAATCATTATTTTAACATAGGTCAAGGAAGAACAATGCTATGAAATCTAGAAAAGCTTCAGCTTTTGTGTTGGTACGATTAGTATATCCTTAAGAATTATCCTACTTTGATAATTCCTTTTAGAGTAATAATTCAGCTACCTTATTTTTCAATTTTTCTTATATACATTTATATGTTTTTAATTGTATCATACATTCTGGTAAACTGCCATAAATCCTCTGAGGAAAAATACAGGAAATAATACACAAATGAAGCCTGACATATTTAAAGATTGGCATTTTCATCTGAAATAATCATGTTTCTTATTATTGAGGCATCAAAGCCCAGGAAGAAATGTATATGGTTAAACAGTTTTCATCATTCTACAGCCATTTTAACTAGCCAAGAGGCTAATTAAAACTTTAGGCATGCTTAGAATTTGTAGTTGATCCTAACCAAGGATCATAAATTCTTTCTACTTCCAAACGTGTATTTCTAATTTATGTAAAATGCTATTTATGTAAACTTAGTTTTCTTTTTTTTTTTTTTTTTTTGAGACAGAGTTTCACTCTCGTTACCCAGGCTGGAGTGCAATGGTGCGATCTCGGCTCACCGCAACCTCCACCTCCTGGGTTCAGGCAATTCTCCTGCCTCAGCCTCCTGAGTAGCTGGGATTACAGGCACGTGCCACCATGCCCAGCTAATTTTTTTTTGTATTTTTAGTAGAGACGGGGTTTCACCATGTTGATCAGGATGGTCTTGGTCTCTTGACCTCGTGATCCACCCGCCTCGGCCTCCCAAAGTGCTGGGATTACAGGCTTGAGCCACCGCACCCGGCCTGTAAACTTAATTTTCAACCAAGAAAAGATTTAGAGTAGTAAAATATGTCCTGGTTACAAGTTCATTATAACGTAATTTATCACTTTACTTAGTTTTATACATTTATGGTCATTTCATTACAATTACCAGTCATATTTACTAGTAATATGTCCTTTTGAGTTAGAATAATGAAGATTGTATATATTCCTAAGTTTTCATTTTTAGTTTATTTAATGATTTTGTGTTTTCCTTTTTATTTCTTGAACAGGTCAGAGACCAGAAATGAGTGGAACGCTATCTTAAGCCAAAAAAAGTGTAATTTTTATATAATACTACTTAGATGAAGAAAGGTAAAAAAAGAAAAAAAATTCCAATGATAATTATCCCATTCAGACATTAGTGAATATGTCACTCAATCCAAGTCGACCTTCCTCATCAGAGGTAAGAAAATCTTTGTATACTAAAATATTTGAAAAGTTTTATAAAAGCAAAAACATGAATTACATAAAGTGTTAGTTATTGACTCCACCATGATCCCAACTTCGTGTATCCCATTGTCTGATTACACTTCTCATTGTCTCTAGCTCACTTCCTCTAATATACCAACCATATTGGGACCCCCAATGCATTGATCCTATCACCTTTTTTACTATTTCTCAATTGTATGATTGAAGATGGTACCCTCCATATCTAGCTTAAGTTCCATAGAGCAATCATGATCACTCTCTTGCATATACTTTTGACTTCTTGCCCCTCTCTCACTTCATTGTGTTCCTTGGCAATACAACAAACATGGTTATTGCATGTCTCCACCTATTCCATACCTACAACTGAGCAGCTGAACCTGGCTAGAAAGAAAAATTTATACCATCATAAGTACCATTCTCACTTTAAATTCATGACCATGAATTTCAAGTGGAATTTTTTTTTTGTGGGCAGTGTTACTGTCTGCCGCTCATTGATTGACTCTTCCTCTCTTCTTTTTTTTTTTTTTTTTTGTTTGTTTGTTTACTTGAGATGGAGTCTCACTCTGTTGCCAGGCTGGAGTGCAATGGCTCAATGTTGGCTCACTGTAACCCCTGCCTCCTGGGTTCAAGTGATTCTCCTGTCTCAGCCTCCCAAGTAGCTGGGACTATAGGCACATGCCACCACAACCAGCTAATTTTTGTATTTTTAGTAGAGATGGGGTTTTACCATGTTGGCTAGGAATGTCTCAATCTCTTGATCTCATGATCTGCCTCACCCTCCCAAAGTGCCGGGATTACAGGCATGAGCCACCGTGCCTGGCCCACTCTTCCACTCTTCTAAACAAGTATGTCTTACCATCTCAGACCCCCAATACCTTCTCTCTGTTTTCTCTAAAACCAACTGCAATCAAGGTTTTACCTCCATTTTTCCAACAAAACTATTCTTGATAAATTCACCTTTTCATTACTAAATCTGTTAATTATCATCCTAAACATTCTTGACCTATGTGTGCACAACAGTTGACACCGTTAATCATGTTCTCTTCCTTGACGTAGGCTTCTAGCATACATATTATATTTGTTTTCATCTTACCTCCCTGGTTTATTCATTCTCAGTCATCTTTATTGAGTATTCATCTTCCTGACCTCTTAATTTTGAAATATTTTAGCTCTTTGTTCTCTTTTCTACCTGCACTTATTCCTTGGTGATCTCATCTAGTCTCATATATTTAAATGCCAACTTTATGCCAAGGATTTCCAAATTTGTAGCCCCATCCCAGTCCTCTCTCCCAAATTCCAGATTCACATATGCATATATTCAGCTGACTGACTGACATCTCCACTTGGATGGCCAATAGATATTTCATCTTAAAATGTCTGAAACTGGATCTTTTCCCCTTCCCCAAAATTTGTACTACCCATGACTTTTTGCCATCTCAGGTGATGTCAAATCTACCCTTTCAGTATCTGAGGCCAAATGCCTTGGAGTCATACTTGATTCTTCTCCTTGACTCTTCTCTCAAGCTCCACTTCCAATAGACTGACTCTGACTCTTCTACTTGACTGTTGAACTCCACTTCCAGTGGATTGTCTCTAGTTTTTAAATATATACCAAATCTGATTACTTTTTAATCAACTTTACTGCTAGCACATGAGTCACCATCATCTCACACTGTAATTATTCCAGTAATTTTATAACAAGTTTTCTTGCCTCGTATAGTCTCTTCTAGCTATTATTCCCCTTACCCAACTAATTAAATTTAGAAAGATTCAAATATAAAGCATTATGTATATCCTGATATAATGCAATATAAAATACAGAGCACTATTTATAAAATACCGTTGCCCCAAGTAGTAACCTGTGTCACTTTAAGGCTGTATATTTAACTGTTTACAGGAGGTAAGAGAGGTTGGAGAAACAAGTTAAATGACACCTTAGAGATAATGAAGTACATTCATAATGTAGAACATTCTATGAGACAACTGGCTCAATCTCTTAAAAAGTCAATACCGTGTTTAAAAAAAAAAAAAGCAAAAAAGGTTTGGGAACTCCAAGAAGAAGGTTTTTAAAAGTGGGAGGCCGAGGTGGGTGGATCATGAGGTGAAGAGATCGAGACCATCGTGGCCAACATGCTGAAACCCCATCTCTACTAAAAATACAAAATATTAGCCGGACCTGGTGGCACAGGCCTGTAATCCCAGCTACTTAGGAGGCTGAGACTGGAGAATCGCTTGAACCCGGGAGGCGGAGGTTGCAGTGAGCCAAGAATGTGCCATTGTACTCCAGCCTGGGCAACAAGAACGAAACTCCGTCTCAGAATATATATACATATATATATGTATATATATACATATATATATGCACCAAATGCAGTGTGTGATCCTTGTTTGAATTCCAGATTAAGAAAACATTTTGAGGACAATTGGGAAATTTTAAATATGGACTGGATATTAACTGACATTAAGGAATTTTACTTTTTTTTTAGATGTGAAAATGAAATTGTGATTATGTTACCAGTGGTCCTTATTTTTAGAATATGGATGTCAAAGTATTTAGGGATATATTGTCATGATGTCTGATTTACTTTAAATGTTTTATTCAGAGAGAATTATTTTTATATGTACGTATGTTTAAAATTTTTTATATTAAATAAAAATACATGTCTGATCTTCCAGTTTCTCTTAAAACCATGCATTAGCTTCCCATTTTATAGGTGAAAATGGCTCAGAAGGTGCTCTGTGTTTCCCCTCTTACCTCTTCATATTTCTGAACTTGTCGTCTTCTACTCTTTACTCTCTGCTGCAATCATACTGGCATGCTCTCACCTTAATACCTTTATTTTTATCTCTTTCTGGAACTCTTATTACCTCTAGATCTTCACTTGGCTAATTCCTTCATTTCCCTTAGGTCTTTACTCAGATCTCACCTCTTCCATGAGACCTACCCTGACTATTTAAAACTGAAAACTTCTCCATTCCGTATCTTCTGATTCTTCTTTACCCTGCCCTACTTACTCTTTTTTCCTAGTAATTACCACTTTGTAATATGCTATATTACCTATTAGTGTTTTGTATTTTTTAATTTTAAAAAAAATTTTAATTTTACTTCTTAGAAGTCAGTATTTATTGTTTATTGGCTGTATCTCTAACAGAGCCAGGACTAGTGCAAGGCAAATGAGATACTTGCCATGGATGAAAAATTTAAGGGGCTACCAAAAAAATTTTTAGTATTAATGCAAAAAAATACATGATGAATAAGATGTCAATATTTTCATTAGAGACAGGATCCAACAGTGCCATCTCTAATCATTTTGAAGGCTATGGCAAAAGAAAAAGTATGTGCCTATATATACCTTGTAATGTATTTTTAAAATAGCTAATGGTTTTAATCAAAATATTATTGATGAGTAGCTTCCATTATAGCCAGGAAAGTAAGATTATAATAATTAGAGTTTGGGTGTAATTAGAATATTTAACCTTACAATAATGTCAGATTTAATATATACTTAAAAATTTTTCCATATTTTTTCAACTACTTTGTTGTTCTGGAAAAAATAAAACCATTAAAAGTGTATTTTTAAGAAGCATGTGTATAAATGTTTAGTTGAAGAAATAGTTTCCCCCTGTAAAATATTAATACACTTATATAAAGATAAGGTCATATTTACTTTAAATGTTTTAAGGTTTTGCAAATGTTTAATAGTATAGCTAGAAATTAATCTTTTAAGTGCTCTAGTGTTCAAAATGAAACATATAGCAAACTTCAGTGTCACATCTATACAAACATTTTAAATTGTTAATATTTCACCATTAAAAGCATAGAAGTAATTTCCTTGATTTATAAAAACAACTTGAAGAAAACTTTATGTTTAAGATTATTTTTATCTTCTGTAAAATTAATGGTCATATTCAAACTTTTAAAGATTTCTCAGATATTTAATATTGCATTACAGTATATTCTTTTTTTTTTTTTTTTTTTTTTGAGACGGAGTTTCTCTCTTGTTACCCAGGCTGGAGTGCAATGGCGCGACCTTGGCTCACCGCAACCTCCGCCTCCTGGGTTCAAGCAATTCTCCTACCTCAGCCTCCTGAGTAGCTGGGATTACAGGCACGTGCCACCATGCCCAGCTAATTTTTTGTATTTCTAGTAGAGACGGGGTTTCACCATGTTGACCAGGATGGTCTCGATCTCTCGACCTTGTGATCCACCCGCCTCGGCCTCCCAAAGTCCTGGGATTACAGGCTTGAGCCACCGCGCCCGGCCCACAGTATATTCATTTTAATGTTTTGACTTTTATTATGCAGTATCAAACTTAATTTGACTAAAAGATAAGACTATATTTGCAATCATTCTATTTCTGTTGTGGTAATATAAATATTCTAAAGAGAAGGATTCTACTCAAGGTCATGACAAAACATTAATGGAAAAGTGGATAGTTACATATAAGCACAGACATGCCCAGTGTAAATGAACAGTCATTCCTTTCTCATTTGGTCAGGAATAAGTTCTTCCTGGAATTCTGGTGAATAAGTACGTTCCCCAAACCACAGTATTAAGCCTTTTGCAGGTGCTGAGAGCTAGCAATCTTCAGAACTGTAATAGGGAGAAAATATACAAAGGCTAAGGATTCCACAAGTTCACTCCAATCAAACGGAGCAGGTAGGGAGTGAGGTGAAGTAAAGGTTGATGTTAGGAAAACTGGTCTTGGTACCCTAGGATTCTTACTGCAGGCCACAGAAAGAACACCATAAGCCAAAAATACTGAGATAATCTCATAGCCATTGCTGCCAAGGGAAAATGTACTCCAAGTGCCAAGTGGCCAACTTAAGAACAGATTTTTAGTCCATTTTGTTTTTTGTTTGTTCAGAGGAATGTGTGTATTCTGTTTTTTTCAATTGTGCTCATTAAACTTGATTTTATGTGACATAGTTGATTTTTTTTCACTTTAAAAATATTTTAACTGATGTTCTTCTCAATTTATTCAGTTGGTGGAACTTCATGTTTTTTATGTCCCTGAGGGATCGTGGAACTATAAGCTAAATACCATTTCAACAGAAGTTGTTAACAGATTCATTTCAGCTGGATTTCTGAGGCAAGTGTTATATAGTGATTTAACAATATGCCTGAAAGAAGCGTCTTTTTCTGCAGAGAAAAATGCTTTCTGGAAATTTAAGAACTATAAGTGAAAAATACTTTGTCCATGTGGTAGTTCCATTTCCTAACTTAATGAATACTATCAATATGTAGTGCTATGTAATGATTAAACCAGTTCTCTAGGAATAGCTCACTTGGCCATAGTTCTACCACCCAGAAAATAGTGTATAACCTGTGTGTTATTATGATCATACACAAAGTGAATTAAGAGAGAAGTTATCTGAAATTAAGAATCTGCTAAACTACTCAGAAGGCTGTGGTGGGAGGACTGCTCTGAGCCCCAGAAGTCAAGGCTGCAGTGAGCCATGATTGCACCACTGCACTCTGGTCTGGGAAACAGTAAGACTCTGCCCCCTACCCGTGCCCCCTCCAAAAAAAAAAAAAAAATGAAAGAGAAAGCTGCTGAAGATCTGAAAACAGTAGTTAAAGCAATATATCTACAATGTCTCTTTCTCTGAACTGTTTAAAAATATAAACAAAGAACATATGTTTATATGTATTTAGATGTGTATTTTCACATTCACAAAAAGACACATAACACTATGTGATCTGACTGTTATCTCTCAAGCACACCCCTCTTCCTAATCTTCATCATCACTTTCTTCAACCACATCAGCCTCCTTTCTGTTCTGGAACACATTGCCCTATCTCAGGACCCTTGTACTTTCTGTTCCTTTTGTCTAGAATGAGTTTTCTGCCCTAACCGTATGCCCTCCCATCTCTTTCAGGTTTTTACTCACATATTACCTTTTTCTGTGGATATTCTCTAAGCACTGCATTTTAAATCATTGCTATAATCCCTTTCTTTATTCTCTGCCTTATTTTTCTCTGTGGTACTTAGCAGTGTCTTATGAATTACAGTTTTTTTTTCTTTACTTATTTACTTCATTAATTTTCCTATTTCATCACTAGGTTGTAAAGTCCATGAGGGCAGAGTTTTTTGTTTTGTTGACTGCCATATTCCCATACCTTGGAACAATGTCTGACACACTGTAGGTGCTCAATAAATATGTGTTGATTGAATGAATTATCTAATATTTCTCATAAGGTCCTAGAAAAATAAGAACTTGGAATGATAGCGTAAGTGATGGTTTTAAATTTTAGACATTCAGGAGCAAAGTATTCCTAATAAGCAAAGATAAGGACTCTGACAGTGTTAGACATTAGATTATTTTAAAATTATTTAAGCGCTAGCTAATAAATATCTGTGGCTATAGCATTTCTTGATATATGTATAAAAGTAAACAAATTCCACAGCAAATTTTAGCAATAAAATTTGGAAGCCGGGCGCAGTGGCTTATGCCTGTAATTCTAACACATTGGGAGGCTGAGGCGGGTAGATCACAAGGTCAAGAGTTTAAGACCAGCCTGGCCAATCTGGTGAAACCCCATCTCTACTAAAAATACAAAAATTAGCCAGGTGTGGTGGTGAGCACTGGCAGTCCCAGCTACTCGGGAGGCTGAGGCATGAGAATCACTTAAACCCAGGAGGCAGAGGTTACAGTGAGCTGAGATTCCGCCACTGCACTCCAGCCTGGGCAACAGAGTGAGACTCTGTGTCAAAAAATAAAATAAAATAAAATAAAATAAAAAATTGCAAGTAGATTAGCAAAGAGACAGTTATTTTCCTTTTCAATACAAAACATTTATAAACAGTGTTTATTTGCATAATTTTAAAGGCAGACTTTTATTTATTTATTTTAAGAGATATTTATGGAAGACCTACAAAATGCCAGCAATGTAGAAACATGATATGTTAAACTATATCTGACACATTAAATCAACATTTGTGTTTGAGATAGCTGACTAAAGTTACTGAATCAGTAGTCTATCCAAAATCTATTTCATTTGGTATTGTAAGATGAATATCGTAATATTTCAGAGTATCTCCTCAACTTACTTTACAAGCCCTGAGGGAGCGTCTGGGTGAGTTCCTGGGTGAAGATGCTATTGCAGAAAAATTTTTGTTTCTGAAATGCATTGGAAATAATTTAGCTGTGGTAAGTTTTTTTTTTTTCCTTCTGATTGAGAAAGACCATACCTTCTCAAATTATATTTCTTAAATGCTTATCAACTCAGCTCCTTAAAATACTATTTGATCTGTAATCTTAATCATAATGAAATGGAAATATCATTAAGCATACAGATCAACAAAGATAGGTTACATAGGCATGTTATTGGGCATGAAAATAATGGGTTTTGTGTGTGTGAATTTCCTTGCAAAGCAAAGACCAATTTAAAATGTTAAATAAGTAATATAGTTCTTAAATTTAAATGAAAGTTTTTAAGTGTTTTAAAAAAGTATTTGTGTTCTGAAGAAAAATGGGATTCTCATTGCTTGCACCACAGCTAGACTCATTTGATGTAAAAGTGATATGGCTCCAACGTATTTTTTTGGTGTCAACATTTTTTTTTTTTTTTTTTTTTGAGACAGAGTTTTGTTCTTTTGCCCTGTCTGGAGTTCAGTGGTATGATCTGGCTTACTACAACCTTCACCTCCGAAGTTCAAGCAATTCTCCTGCCTCAACCTCCCAAGTAGCTGGGATTATAGGCATGCGCCACCACGCCCAGCTAATTTTTGTATTTTTAGTAGAGAGAAGATTTTACCATGTTGGCCAGGCTGGTCTTGAACTCCTGACCTCAAGTGATCTGCTTGCCTCAGCCTCCCAAAGTGCTGGGATTACAAGTGTGAGCCACCATGCCTGGCCGATGTCTATTGATATTTACTGAACACTTCTATTTGTAGTTGCTATGACTTAGTGGCCAGGACACTCTAAGTAGAGAATATTCCTAGCCTAATTTTCTAATTTAACGAGCCATCACATCTCAAAGTGTCTGGTCTCTCATATCCATATAAATTTTATTTCCTTAGTCAAGATTTTCTATATTTAAACTCTTTAAAATGCAGTGTAGTCTTATTTCACTCTAGTTAACAGATTGTATCATTATTATGTGTTTATGTGATTATTTGCTTAACATCTAACCCTACCATTAGCTTATAGTTCCTTGTGGGAAGGGAATTCATGTTATTTACTACTGTATTTCTAATCAGTGCCTAACAAGGTGTTTTGCGCTAGAGGTGTTTAAATGTTCACTGAACAAATTAAATCATGAATGATAATGGAAAAAATAGGCATTTCCTTCCAAAGTACAACTGTAATTTGCTGTGTGAGATTCTTGGGAGCAGTAGCTAAATTTGAAGAAGCTTTTGTCATCAGAGTTCTGTATGACTTTTGGCATATTAATATTAATTTACTGATCATTAAGTCAGTTTTCCTCTGAGAAGAAAATTAACTCATAATTTTTTGTTCTTTTTCATAAGTATAAATGTACAAAAAATCATAGAAACCCAGATTGCAAGGGACTTTCAAAGTAGTTTAGGTCAATTTCTAAAGTCCTTTTAATATTATTTTAAACAAATATTTATTGATGTTTTTCTATATACTGAACTAGAAGACAGAACTAGATATGGATCTTGCCCTTAAAGAGTGCTCTGTGTAGTGATGAAGATTAAAATATATAAAATAAATAAATAAAATATCATATTTTATATATTCATATAAAAGGAGATTACTTCCAGCAGGGGAAGAGGGAAGGTAGAAAACTTTGAGGAAGAAGCAATATTTCAGTTTGGATACTAAAAGAAAAATATTTGTTCTTGCAAAGATGAAGGGTGAGAAAAGCTTTCTGAGCAGAGAAAATAGGATAAGCACAGGAGTAGAAAAGCAGACAACTCAGAAATAATAAATGGTACATTTTTTAATGGGGCATTGACAACATGAAAGGAAATAGTGAGGAGCAAGTTATAAAGTTGTTTGTTGAAGGTCTTGAATGCCTTCAAGTTTAGATTAATAGTTTGGATTTTTTCCTGACACTCTAGAGCAGGCGGCCCCCTGAGACCATTTATCCGGCCCCCCGCCACACTTTAGGAAGGGGCACCTCTTTCATTGGTGGTCAGTGAAAGGAGCACAGTATGTGGCGGCCCTCCAACGGTCTGAGGGACAGTGAACTGGCCCCCTGTGTAAAAAGTTTGGGGATGCCTGCTCTAGAGCTTTTGACTAAAAGAATTAGACGATCAGAGCTTTCAGTACAATTAATTGGGCCTCACCAAGAAGGATGGATTGAAGTGAGAAGAAAATAGAGGCAGGGATTTCAGTAGGAAAGTTTTAAAGTGGTTTAGGCAAAAGATAATGTGGGCCTAAGGAACAGGCTGCTTCTCAAATTTCTTCTATGACCATTTTCTCCTTGGTTTCATACTTCAGCTACAGAAATCTTCCTTTGGTCCTCAAATATGGCAGACTTATTTCTGATTTTTGGTCCTTGCCCTTGCCTAGAAATCACTTCCCCCTGGTTTTCAGATAGCTGGCTGCTGCTTTTCATAATTCAGGTCTTAGCTCAAGTATTATCTTTTCAAAAAGGCCTTCCTTGACCAACTAGTTTTTAGATATTCTTTCAGGTTACTCTCTGTTACATCACTCTGTTTTCTTTTCATAAAACATGTATCACCATCCTAAATTGTGTTTGTTTATTTAATATCTGCTTTCCCAAGTAGAATAAAGCTCCATAACAGCAGAGATTTTGCTTTACTTATCATTGTATCCCTACCATGTAGAACACTGCCTGACAGATAGTAGGCCCTCACTGTTTGTTTGTTTGATTTGTTTGTTTTTTTGGCTGGAGTCTTGCTCTGTCCACCAGGCTGGAGTGCAATGGATTGATCTCGGCTCACTGCAGCCTCCACCTCCTGGATTCAAGCAGTTTTCCTGCCTCAGCCTCCCAAGTAGCTGGGGGAAGCCACCACACCCAGCTAATTTTTGTATTTTTAGTAGAGACAGGGTTTTGCCACGTTGGCCAGGCTGCCCTCAAACTCCTGACCTCAAGTGATCTGCCCACCTTGGCCTCCCAGAGTTCTGGGGTACAGGCGTGAGACACCATGCCCAGTCCCCCAATATTTGTGAAACAAATAACAAATGAACTCTATAGGGTTGAATATGTAAGAAATAAAGTTTACTAGGTTGGACTCTGGGGTCAGATGACCCGGCTTTGAATCCCAACTTGGAAATTTCCTAGTTATACAATCTTTACTAAGTGGAATAGTGCCAGGCACATAGTAAGTCCATGTAAGAGATAGGTATAGTTATTATTAGTAAATGACATAGAATATCTATTTGATACAGTGAATAAAAGTAACTTTATATTCTGCATTTTCTAGAATCTACCTGTAGTTACTAGCTTCTAAATTTGATTTTTATATTTGCCACAAATATATGCTTTCTGCATAAAAGAGTAGAGGTAAAAATAATTGAAAAATGTAGCAAAAGCTTTTATTTTTTTTCTCATTTACTTATTTGTAGGTGAAGGAAAAGCAAGAATCAGAACTGAAACTCAGATCATTTACTCCTCCATATGTATGTAAATGTGGCATTTTAAACTTATGCTAGTTTTTAACTTAGAGCACTATTTTTAATTACAAACTAATTTTTTAAATTTCCTATATGTTTTAGGCTCTTCAACCAGAATTATATTTGCTTCCTATAATGGACCACTTAGGAAATGTTTATTCACCATCATCAACAGTTATTTTGGATGAGCGGCAGACTAATAATGGCATTACTGAGGTTGATGGAACAATCCACAGACCAATTAGTGTAACTTTGTTCAAGGAGGAACCTGGAAGAGATCCCAGTTTGTTAGAAAACACTTTGAAAGAGCTTCCTAACAAGAATCAGGAAGAAGGTGATTTTAAACTGAAACGGGAAAAAGAGGCTATTATAGTATATTTTAGCAGTTGGGTCTGTAAACAAACTCTGAGCAAACCTAGCCTTACAAATACAGGCAGTATAAAAAGAAAGCTGCAATTTCACTTGGGGATTTCTAAAAAAATAATTTTGCCAGGTGAGAGGAAAAGAAAACAATTAAGTATTATGTTAAAATAAAAACAAAATCAAAATAGTTATAGCACTTAGATGAACTCTACCACCTACTTCTTTTGTAATAAAATAGTTTTAGATAAAAGTAAAGCTACAGGGGAAGAGAAAGGAAAGATGACTGCATAAAACTTTGGTATTATTCAGAGACCAGAAGGATCAAAAAAACAGTGTCAAACCGAGGCAAACAACAACAAAAAGCTTTAATGTTGGGGAACATGTGTATTTCAAAGAATTTTAAAATTTTTATCTGATTATAACTATCAATTTACTAACAATTACTAATAATTTGATTCTTCAAAAGTGATAGGAATGGTGGCTTATATCTGTAATAAACACTTTAGGAGGCCAAGTGGGTGGATCACTTGAACCCAGGAGTTTGAGACCAGCCTGGGCAACTTGTAAGACTCTGTCTCTACAAAAAATGCAAAAAAAAAAAAACAAACAACAAACAAACAAACAAACAAACAAACAAACAAAAAACAAAAGTAAGGCGGGTATGGTGGCACACGCCTGTAGTCCCAGCTACTCAGGAGGCTAAGATGGAAGGATTGCTTGAGCCAGGAAGGGGAAGGTTGCAGTGAGCCGAGATTGTACCATCACACCCCAGACTGGGTGACAGAGACCCTGTCTCAAAATAATAATAATTTTAAATGTTTAAATAAAAATTAAACTCATAAATACATAAAGCTGACTACAGTCTAAGAATCGTAGGAAAAAAAGTTGAACTTTTTTTGACCATATTACATTAAAAAATAAACTGTTAGGGAAAAGCCAATACACTAAACATTTACAAATGAAATGCATCCCCCAGAAACTAAAGACAACATCCATTAAAGCTGTAGAGTATACGAATTCTTAATCAGTTACATTTCTTCTATTCTAAATTTATGCTAAACCCAGCAATGTTCCAAAGTTAGTACTTTCTTTCATCTTAGGCACATTTAATATTTATTGTTTATTACTTGATGCCAGTTAGATACTCAGTGAGAATCTTTACTATCTTTGTCTGGATATGTCTCTGCTAAAGGAGAAAACACCTAGCAAACAAAAATTCAGCCTTGAGTCCTAGTATTTCTTTTTTTTTTTTTTTTTTTTTTTTTTTTGAGACAGAGTTTTGCTCTTGTTACCCAGGCTGGAGTGCAATGGCGTGATCTCGGCTCACCGTGACCTCCGCCTCCTGGGTTCAGGCAATTCTTCTGCCTCAGCCTCCTGAGTAGCTGGGATTACAGGCACGCGCCACCATGCCCAGCTAATTTTTTGTATTTTTAGTAGAGACGGGGTTTCACCATGTTGACCAGGGTGGTCTCGATCTCTTGACCTCGTGATCCACCCGCCTCGGCCTCCCAAAGTGCTGGGATTACAGGCTTGAGCCACCGCGCCTGGCTGAGTCCTAGTATTTCTTAATAGTACAAGGTCAAGTGGCTAATGAAGTTGGAAATTGCCATGCATACTGAGAATAACGTCATATTTCACACCCTGGGCTATTAGCCAAATTTCTGAATTATGCTATTTTCATGAAACTCTCTCACCAAAAAAAAACAAAAACAAAAACAAAACACCAACTTTGGTGGGAGTGAGTTTCTAATTCTGTGAATTCTTTGCAAGTATAGTTTTGAAATGTTACTAATTTCTTGGTGCTTTACTCCAAAGAGATTATGCTTTAAATGAGAGGCCAGTGTGTGCTTATTTTCAGAAGTTCTAGAAACATCAGTAAGGATAAGAAAGAAAATAAGTATAAAGTATACTTTTACTTAATAATGTAAAGAAGAATAAAGACTGATGATAATTTTACTACTCAGAAAGCTTCTCTTAGAATTCTGATGTATGTTCTTCCAGTTACTATTTTTCACTTCTTATATATAAAATGTATTTTTATTTTTCAAAAATGAACACACATAGACTCTTAAAGCTTCCTTTATTTGAAAGTATAAACATTTTATATCGATATAGATCTATATCCTTATAGAAGTTCCTACATCATAATTTACTTCCCCAACCCTTTATTAATGTTTTTGCTGTCATGTATAGTGCAATCAGCAACTTTTTTTTTTTTTTTTTTTTTTTTTTTGAGATGGAGGCTCGCTCTGTTGCCCAGGCTGGAGTGCAATCTCAGCTAACTGCAACTTCCACCTCTTAGGTTCAAGTAATTCTCCTGCCTCAGCCTCTCCAGTAGTTGGGACTACAGGTGCACACCACCATGTTCACCTAATTTTTGTATTATTAGTAGAAATGGGTTTTCACCATGTTGGCCAGGGTGGTCTTGAACTCCTGACCTCAGGTGATCCATCCACTTCTGCCTCCCAAAGTGCTAGGATTACAGGTGTGAACCACCACTCCAGACCAGAGCAACATTTTTCTAAATGCAGTTTCATGCATTTTTTCTATTATTGCTTTTAAAAGTTTAACTGCTGTTTCTAAGGTAATATAGTCCTGTCATTGTTCTTAGAACTTACAACCTTGTATGTTTTTCTCTGGTCACACTTCTTCCTTCTCCAGTAAAAATAACTACTACTTTGATTTTTGTGGTAATTATTTTCTTGCTTTTCTTTTGCTTTCTGTACTTTGAAGCTCTGTTACTAGATGCATGCATATTTAGGATTATTAAGTCTTCTTGATAAATTGACCCCTATATTATGTAATGTTTCTCTTTATCTCTGGTAATATTTCTTATTTTGAATTGTTTTCTTAACTTAAATTTGTAGTTTGTCTTTTTACTCTGTGATTCTTTTGATCATAGGACTTCCTGTAGTTTTACAACTGAGATATATATCCCTTAATAATACAGTTTAGTTTTGTTTTGAATTCTATTTATGTATATAATTTTGGACTTGCTTCTCTTATTCAACATTGTAAGAGTCATACCATCATATGTAACACTATTTATTTTTATTGCTGTGCTCCATTTTATATTCATACAATTTATTTATATTACAATTTATTTGTCTATTCTATGGCCGATGGACATTTGGTTTGTTTGCAGCTTGAACTATTACAAATATGCTGTTATGTACATTTTTGTACATAAATGTGCATGTCCAAGAGAATTGGCTTTGTTCATTGTTCATATTCGCGTAGATGTTCAACTTCACTAAACAACATCCATGTGTTTCCAAGGCAGCTGTACCCAGCAGCAATGTCTAAAAGTTCCTGTTGCACCATAATCTTGCCATTGTGTCATATATTTTCTGTCGTCTTGTTTCTCTGCTCTACATTCTAGAAAATGTAGAGAATAGGATAGTATAGATTTCTTCCAAATACATTTTCAGTTATCCCAAAATATCATTCATTCCTTCCCCACTGATTTCAAATGACACCTTTACCACACCATATATATATATATATATATTCTTATATATACATGACAACTTTCAGACATTATCCATCTTCTCAACTCGTACTGACAATATTTTTTATATGTCTGGCAAGGTGATTTCCCATTCAGTATTATTATTCTTTATTGTGAGGTTCAAAATTGGGTATCATATGTGAAAATGCTTTTTATCTGTAAGTCACCACAAAAACAAATACAAGTAATCTTTTCCAATAGTTTTGGTTTGAGCTTTTATTTCCCCTGTGGTTTATTGGTCATTTTGTTGGAAAGAAATCTTTTTTAAAAATTTTTATAAATATTATAAAGTATTTGAGGACAAGGATTTATTGCTACTTACTCTGAGGCAAACACAGTGCCTAGACCACAGTCCTGAATAAGCATTTGTTGCAAATTAGTAACTGTCTAAATTGACATATCAGTTTGTAAATAATATACAATCAATTACTGTGTTCTTAGACAATAACTGTAGTAATGGTGTAAAAATGATAACAGATGTACGTATCCCTTCTGAAACATGACATTTTAGAGGATAAATTTATGATAAATAAGTTTGGGGAGAACATAGGTAATATGCTTTTAAGTAATTTTTAGATGTTTTTATACAATATTTATGTTGTGAAATACTTTTTAATTGTACATGTTGCTGTTCTTTCATTTTGCTATTAGAAATTTTTGTGAATACGCCAGTTTTCAATAACAGCAGAGTCAACAGCTTTATATTTGACCAAGTAACATACTCGTTGGAAGTTTTCCAACTGTATAGTATAGTTTGGCTCATCAGTTAATAGCATTTTGCTTGTAAATGCGTTTAATGTCATAATATGAAACTTTTTATTTACATTTCTTTGCAGTGAACAAGAAGGAAGTTATTTGAAAAATACTAGTCTGTTTTGTGCAGAAGATTAGCAGATCTAGGATCATTTTCTTCCAGTTTTTTGACTTGCCCTATTCATTCTTACCTTACCCTATTCATGCTTCTTTCATATTGAAAGAAGCATGAATAGGGTAAGGTAAGAATCCCCCTTCTTTGGAGAAATAAGGCTGGTGAGAATATACACACTTTATGTTTTCACAAGTACTTTACAGAGGGAGAAAAGAAGTATTGCTTTCCCCACTTTTATACTGAAATGGGTATTTCCTCTATTGTTGTCTTCTGTTTTTTTTCCCAGGGATCTGTCAGCTGTAACATATTTACTACTTGACTCCATCATTGTCCCAAACCACCACACTACACTATCTTTACTTTTCTTTGGTTTCATACTTCTTCCAGTTCAGACTTTAAGCTTTGAAATTATCATTATTTTACAATTCTTGGATTCTTAGAGTAAAGAAACCTTAAAAACCATCTTATCTATTCAACCTGAGAAAGCTGATTAAAAGAAAAAAAAATCTTGTCTAGCTTCCTTGCTTGTAATCTCCTTTATAGTGTTGTCAGTATCATTCTGCTTATTACAAGTTGGTTTATATATCTCCCTGTTTAAAAACCTTTGAAAGACTCATCAATTCCTATCTGAAGCCTGAGCTTTTTTTTTTTTTTTTGAGACAGAGTTTCATTCTTGTCACGCAGGCTGGAGTGCAATGGCAGGATCTCAGCTCACTGTAACCTCTGCCTCCTGGATTCAAGGGATTCTCCTGCCTCAGCTTCCTGAGTACCTGGGATTACAGGTGACTGCCACCACATCCAGCTAATTTTTGTATTTTTAGTAGAAACGGGGTTTCACCATGTTAGCCAGGCTGGTCTTAAACTCCTGACCTCAGATGATACACCCACCTTGGCCTCCCAAAGTGTTGTGATTACAGGTGTGAGCCTCTGCACCCAGCCAAAGCTTCTTAAGGTGGCATATAGAACTTTTCAAACTCAGGGCTACAGTGTATGGCTATGCAGATTGTTTAGTGCCTACCTCCAGAAGGCTTCCTTCTCATCGTTCATGATATGAATGAAGCTTTCAGGATTTCTTTAATGTGGTTCAATAATTTTTTATCTATTATTAGTAGTAGTAATACTAATATTAGTATGAGGGTAGGAAAGGAGGGAGAAGTACTATGAACTGGTACTTCTGGAGAGGTACGTAGGGACTTGAACTATAAGAGCCTTGCTTGCAAAGCTAAAGAGTTTGGTAGGTAATGAGAGGCCATCTGAAGATTTTAACTGAGTGGCATGATTGGATTTTAGTTCTAGAAAAACAACTTAGGTGACAAGATGGAAAATAGACTTAAGGACTAGGAAAATGGCAGTGGGATATAAATCAGAACTTAAACTTAGGAAACTTCTCAGGATTAGACAATGTACTAGGTGTTTTACATGCATTATGCCATTTTAGAAATAAGGAAACAGAAGTTAGAGAAATAACTTACCTGAAGTCATACATGGCCATGCCAGGACTTCAGTTGTTGTGTGTTTGACTAAAGCCCTTGCTGTATAACACTGTGCTAGAATCATACTGAACTTTTCACTATGGATAAAAATGCTCCACACATTATTGTATTCTGCTCCTGGCACATATCATATTCTTTGTTTAAATTCCTCCTACTCTCTTCTTTGACACCAAACAGCTCATAGTTCAAAACTTAGTTTCATGGTTATCACTCCTTTTTCTGTGACTGTATCATATTTTAAACATATATTTTTTGCAGTTTTCAAAACACTGAGTCCTACATTATTGTTTCTTTTTATGGGTGGGTAGGGGTGTTGTAGTTTACTGTTAGCTTTACACAGCTGGTAGGTCCATTTTTTATTCATTTAGCATTATATAGATCTTTTAGAAAATCCATTTCTTTTGTTGTTTTGTTTTGTTTTGTTTGAGACAGGGTCTCACTCAAGCCCAGGCTGGAGTGCAGTGGCACGATCTTGGCTCATTGCAGTGTCTGTCTCTTGGATTCAAACGGTTCTCCTGCCTCAGGCTCCCGAGAAGCTGGGATTACAAACACATGCCACCACACCTGGCTAATTTTTGTATTTTTAATAGAGACAGGGTTTCACCATGTTGGCCAGGCTGGTCTTGAATTCCTGACTTCAAGTGATCCATCTGCCTCCGCCTCCCAAAGTGCTTGAATTACAGGCGTAAGCCACTGCACCCAGCCTCTGTTTGTTGTTCTTAAGTGACAGTTTCAGTGCCAGGTGGGAAATAAATTGTAGCAGCCAAACTAAAACCAATATGGGCTTCAGGTTGCAAAATACTGTGGCAAGTCTTTTGTTTCCTTTTTTCTTTTTTTTTTTTTTTTTTGGTGGGGATTGTTTTTTGTTTGTTTGTTTTTGAGACAAGGTCTTCTCTGATGCCCAGGCTGGAGAACAGTGGTGTGATCATGGCTCACTGCAGCCTCAACTTTCCAGGATCAAGCCATCCTCCCACCAGTCTCTCAAGGAGGTGGGAACACAGGTATGCACCATCTTACCTGGCTAATTTATTTTATTTTTGTAGAGATGTTGCCCAAGCTTGTCTTCAACTTCTGGGCTCGAGATATTCTCCTGCCCATTCTCCCAAAGTGCTGGGATTACAGGCATGAGTCAACATGCCCAGCAACAACTCTTGTAAAATGACTTTTCAAATATTAATTTGGCTCACTTATTCTTTTCTGAATTTTTTTTTAATTCAGAAAAGAATAAGTGAGCTGGACATGGTGGCTCAAACCTGTAATCCCAGCACTTTGGGAGGCTGAGGTAGGTGGATCACCTGAGGTCGGGAGTTCGAGACCAGCCTGACCAACATGGAGAAACTTTATCTCTACTAAAAATACTAAATTAGCTGGGTGCGGTAGTGCATGCGTGTAATTCCAGCTACTCTGGCGGCTGAGGCAGAATCACTTGAACCCAAGAGGCGAAACTTGCGGTGAGCCAAGATTGCGCCATTGCACTACAGGCTGGACAACAAGAGTGAAACTCTCTCTCAAAAAAAATTGATTTCTTCAAGGGAAAAAAAATCTGCTTTAATAATGCCAGATTCATGGATCTTTTGTTTATACAGACCATGTAGAATATTAGTGTTAATATTTTAAAGATAGACTGTGTAGTTTTCCTATATTAAGAAATTCTGTTAAAATGAAGGGAGATATTATCAATGAAAATGTATGTGAAATAACAAATGATATTTTACATTCTGTATTTATACCAGCATTTTCCAGAGAAGTTTCCTCAAAGCACTTTTTCAAAAAATGCTTTATCATATGGGTTTCTAAAAACAATTAAGGCCAGGCACAGTGGCTCACACCTGTAATTTCAGCATCTGGGAAGGCCAAAGTGGAGGGATCACCTGAGGTCAAGAGTTCAAGACAAGCCTGGCTGACATGGTGAAACCCTGTCTATACTAAAAATACAAGAATTACTGAGGTGTGGTGGTACACACCTGTAATCCCAGCTACTTGGGAGGCTGAGACAGGAGAATCGTTTGAACCTTGGAGGCAGAGGCTGAAGTGAGCCAAGATTGCACCCACTGCACTCCAGCCTGAGCAACAGAGCAAGACTCTGTCCAAAAAAAAAAAAGGAGGGGGGCTATTAAATTTCAGGAAACCCCCAACTTACCTACCCCGTCTTGCAGATTTAGTTGTACATAGAGACAGAGAAATCCTGCAGTAGGAGTGACTGTGTGTGTAAGGGATTGTGTTGCTGTTTGATGCTGCTTAATTCAGCATTTCCCAAGCTGAATTAACCAAAGAATTTTCTTTTCACATAAACTAATATTTCATGAAATTCACTTTGGAAACTGTTGCCTTATATCTGTATAGTAAAGTTCATGGGGATTCTGAAACACAGGACAAGATTATAATGTATACATTTAAAAACAAAATTTTATTTTAGCATTTTCTTAACATTCTGAACTTTTATTTGCTATGGATGACCATCAGCATCAGCTGGGGGAAAAGCCACTACAGAACAAAGCCAGATTGCAAAAAATCAAATTGGAAATTCTGAGTTACCAAGATCATTGGAAGATTCAGATAATAATTATTTTGACACCCAAAAAAGGTAATAAAGTATAGATGCTGATTCCACATATCATAATCTAAACAATAAAAACAGAAGGATATTCAGAGTACTGTTATAAAGACTTTTACTTAAAGATATGAGTGAAATTAGTGATATTTTAATTAAAATTACCTTGAATCAGATCTTTACTGTTTTTTGCTAACATTCCTCTCTAAGATAATGAGGGATAATTTATAACTTAGATTTGTTTCTATTGTAATATTTTTATCATTGGAACAACTTGATAACAGAAAAATTTATGTCTTTGTTTGCCTTCTTTAGAACTAATTATTCTGCCTCTGTTCTTAGTTATAGGTAAACTAATCAATATACTTGATTTTCACATTGGTATCATTTCATTCAAATGTATAGTACTTAGGCAAGAATTTTACACAGTCTTTTGAAATTAAAATACAGATTTTTATAAACAATTACTTACAATAGGACTATAAACAAATATGCTGCTAAAATTTTCAGTTATTTTATCTTGCTATAGATATTGAACTAGAATTTAGCTATAATGAAATTTGATTTTATTACTCATACTAAATGTAGCTTTACATGAATCATTAATGAGTCTGAAAGAACAGGATAATGGTCTCAGGCTGACTTTGAAAATTTCAATATTTGTGTTCATAGAGCATCAAATATATAAAATATGAAAAGCTAATATTCATTGGATCATATTTTAATATGACTTTCAAATCTGTCATTTCCTTTAAGTCAGTGTCTTTGGAAAAATGAAGATGATACAGCTATCAGTAGAACACAGGACAATCAGGTACTATTTTTAATTTTTTGTTTAAATACGGTATTGCAACATAATATTTTTACTGAGATTAAACAAACTGCAGATTAAAATGTCTAAGTTTTCGAGGAACATACTTCTAATATCATTATTATCAATAGTAGTCCAGTTTTTCTGTTTTTATAATTAAGGTAACAGTGTACTCAAAAAGGGGGAAAAAAGTTATCCACCAACACTTTTTTGGATTATCTCCTCAGGTTTTATTCCTAGTTTTAAGGTATATTAAACTTCACTTAACTAGCAGCTTTCATAGCTAATTTGTAATTTAATGTATTAATACCTGTACTTGATTAACTTCTCTTTAGAACAGAATTATATAGTGTGTTAAGGAGCAGTATTAGTAAGCAATTAGTAAATTGTTTATTATGTTATAGTTACTAGCTGGTGGCCTTGGATATGTTACCTAATTTGAATTGCACTGGTTTAAATGAATTAATGAACACTATTCAAATTACCAGTTTATTCTCAAGAAATGATGGAAAGACTAGGAGAATTTTGCTTATATTTGCAGGATAAATTTAGGACAGTCTTAAGAATGATAATAGTACTAATTTTAATCATAGCTATCAAAGAGTACCAACTACCAAGCACTATTCTAAGTATTTTACACATAATGACTCATTTTATCTCCACAAAAGAAACTCCATGAGGTAGGTTATGGTTGTCATTCCCGTTTTACAGATGAGGCACAGAGAGATTCCATGGCTTTCTCAGGTCATTCACATAGTTAGTAAGTACTGGAGCTGAGCTTAGATCCTAAATAGTGTAGACTGGCTTCAGAGTTCGTAGTCTTAACCATTTTAATAACAACCTATCTAAATGATAATACTAATAATATAGCAACAACCAATTAGATAGCATTTATTGAGCCAATCAGTGTTCTAAATTCTTTGCATATGTTAATTCACTTAATTCAACAACTATTTGTGGAGGTATTTATTTTCAGATGAGAAAACTAAAACACAGAAAGTTACATTAATTTTTCCATGGTTATGTCTCTCATACTCATTGGAAAAAATCCCAAAAATGAGGCTTTAATTCTGCCAACAAATATACTGCATTTTCTTGGTCCATTACTGTTTTTCTAGACAACTCTGTCATACCTTCTCCTCAGACAATGAAGAGCTTCTTTCTCTTGCACTCTCAGTGATATTTTTTCTTTGTTAAATAGAATTAACTTGAAGAAAACCATTTATCTCAAAATTTTATGTACAGAATGAGGTTGGGGTTGTGGTTCAGTTGAGATCCTCAGATAACCACTTCCTACACCATTTGTTAAGACTTTATTTTTCCTACTGCATTATTCAAAACTCAGTTGACTCTGTGGATCCAGGACAATTTCTAGCCTCCCTTTCTGCTCAATGATTTTTTTTTATCCTTATGCCAATACAGCATTATCTTCATTACTGAGGCTTTATAGTAGTCTTGTTATCAGATAGTATGAGATTTCCAACCTAATTTTTTTTTCAAGATCATTTTGGCGATTCTAGATTCTTTGCGTTTTCATATAAATTTTAGAATCAGCTTGTCAATTTCTTACTGAAAGACTACTGAAATTTTGGGTGAAATCACCTTGAATCTGTCAATCAATTTGGGAAGAAAACTGATACCCTTACTATACTGAATCTTCTAATCTATGAACACAGTATGTCTATTTATGTCATTAGGTTCTTTCAGCAGTGTCTGTGGTTGCTCCTATAGTGCAGTACTCTTATGGATCTTTTAATATTACATTTATTTTTAGATAGATGATATTTTTGACACTTCTCTAAAATGGTATTTTTAAATTTTTATTTTCTAATTGTTGCTAGTTTATAGAAATGTAATTGATTTTTACAGATTGAACTCATCTATTGAGATTTTGCTAAATTCTATTAGTTCTATCTTTTTTTTGTAGATTTTTTAGGACTTTCTACATACCATTCATGTCGTCTGTGAATAACAACAGTTTTACTCTTTCTTTCTGTTTGTGTTATGAATTGTTTTTTTCCTTCAGCTTCCAGAATGGGAGAAGCAGTAATGGCAATAACAATGATGGCTTCTTGCTTTCAGCATATTTCTGGTGGTGGCCTCAACAATGGTAACTTCACTAATGGAAACGTCATTTTAGGAAACCAAACTCAGAACCTGCTCCTTCAGTCTTTCTGTTACACCCTATTTCCTTTATTACATTCCTTCCTGCTTGAAACTGCACTGAACTGATTTAGCATTTGGTACAGAAAGTGTGAATGGGCCAAAAACTTTTACAAATGAGAATCTCAGACTAGTTATTGCAAAATAACTGCAATATTTTGTTAATGTGTGCTAGTAGAAACTTAGAAAAATATTATTGGGAATAGATTCAGAGCAGAAATGAAAGAACATAACTTTAGATTGGCTCAAGTTTAATAAATGGATACACTTATCAGAGATTCTGGATTTAATGTGCTAGCTCCAGCAACTGCAAGTGGTAAAAGAAAATTTTACTAAATTGAGTCAGGCTGACAGAAACCTAGACAATATGGTAGCTCATACTGAGTAAATTTAAAATGCCAGGAATTTTTTGTTAAAAAGTAAAGCAAGAAATCCAAAGACTTTGGGAAATAAAAATGTTAAGAGAGGATTTATATCCAATTACCTCTTTAACCAGACATTGGGGAACATATTGGAAAGGCAACCCCAGAATTCTTTTTAAAAACCTTATAGTGGCTGTTTTATGTCACATGGAATGAAGATAGGACTATACTTGATTTTATTTATTTATTTTTCTGAGATAAGAGTCTCACTGTGTCACCCAGGCTGGAGTGCAGTGGTGCAATCTTGGCTCACTGCAACCTCTGCCACCCAGGTTCAAGTGATTCTCCTGCTTCAGCCTCCTGAGAAGCTGGGATTACAGGTGCCTGCCACCATGCCCAGCCAATTTTTGTAGTTTTAGTAGAGATGGGGTTTCACCATCTTGACCAGGCTGGTCTTGAACTCCTGACCTTGTGATCCACCCGCCTCACCCTCCCAAAGTGCTGGGATTACAGGCATAAGCCACCACGCCCAGCCTACTTAATTTATTTAGAGATGACAGAACCCAAGTGACAGAAGCCAATTTATAGCATTTTACTAAAAAAGATAAAACAGTTCCAGAGTGATCATAAGGGATGTATGATTAAGAAATCCTTGACAATAGTTAGTTGCCAAGGTGTCCCTAAGACTAATCATGATGTTCCTGAGACTTAAGTGGATAAGCTTACCAGTATGCTGTTGGTCTGTGTAACCAAAAATTATTTTTAGTCTTTGCAAATAGATGTTTACCTTGAATAACCACATGAATATTCACATCCCCTTATTAAATTACCAGACCTTAGCCAGTTTACATAACCAGAACTTATTGAGCTTTACTCAATATATTGAGTAATATCTGGGGAGGCCAGGTATCCTTGAAAAAAAACCCTGTCACTCAGCCACAAGTATGGATTGTAAATTTCCTGCTTCACCTTCCTTAAGGGAATCAGAGGTTGTTTACCCAGTTGACTACCATGCGGAAAGGGAGGTACCCATACTTTTCAGGATTCATGGCAATGGCTTTGATATGATTCTGATCCTTAGGGACCTGAATAACTCTGTGTTCCACCAATAGGTTGGAGGTTTAGAGGGGTCAGATAATAAATGAAGTTTTGGCTAAATCAGTCTTCTCATGTGCCGAATGGCTTTGCAAATTCTTCCTGTAGTCATTTCCTTAATTTATGAAGGCATACTGTAAAGGACTTACTCAGCAAATAGCAGAATCTTCATACTGCCTCCCTGCCTCTTGCAGCATGTGCAATACAAAATGTTATGGTAGAAAGGGCCAAGCGAAATATGATGGAACTGCCTATTCCTTACCAAAATAGTAAACCAAAGCATTACCAACCTCCTGGAGGAATTGCAGGGTTCTGTGCCATGATCAAAACTTGAAAATGGCAGAAAAGGTGATTCTTATCATAGCCACCACATTCAACTCACCTAGCTGGCCTGTGCAGATTAATTGGCCTCAGTGTCAGGTGGTGACAATTGTAGCTGCTACTCCTTACATAATGGTCTCTTTATTAGAATACATTATTACAGCCTGATGCTCCTACTATGTCATTCTTAATCTGGAAAATGCTTTTTCTTCATCCAGTCAGCACAGAAAAGTAGCAAATAGGAATAGCAGTAGACCTTCATTGTTTTGCCTAAGAGCTGTGTCAACTCTGGCTCCTTGTCGTAATCTAGTTTATAGGCAACCTGACCATATCATGATCCCCTTGGACCTGATAAACAGGAAATACTAAATAATGTAGATACCTTAGGTAAGACATGTTTGTTGGTGGGTAGAAGATAAGCTGCAAGAAAATTCAGGAGCCTCTACCAATTCAGAGAAATTTCTAGGAGCTCCATGGTCTGTGGACATGTTCAGGTATCTTCTTGCTCCAGCTACCATTAAGAATGAGACAAAGCACTTTGTGGACCTTTTTTGGAATTTGTAGAGAGATTTACTGCATTTGGATGTGCTGCTCTCTCTCTATTTTTTAAAACCAAGTGAATCAGAACCCTGCCAACTTTGAATGGGACCTAAACAAGAGAAGGCTTGCAAGGTGATCCCAGAGGGATTGCAAGCAATGCTGCCACTTACGGGGTTTTTGTTTTTGTTTTGAGACAGGGTCTCATTCTGTCGCATAGACTGGAGTGCAGTGGAGTGCTCACAGCTTACTGCAGCCTTGACCTCTTGGGCCCAATCCATCCTCCCACCTCAGCCTCCTAAGTAGCTGTGACTTACAGGCACATGCTACCACACCCAGATGGTTTTTCTATTTTTTGTAGAGTTGGGTTTTGCTGTGTTGCCTAGGCTGGTCTCCAACTCCTGGACTCAAGCAATCCATCTTCCTCAGCCTCCCAAAGTGTTGGGATTACAGGCATGAGCCACTACAACCAGCCCACCAGTGTTTTAATGTCTGTCCCGATTGTCCAGTGATGCTTGATAAATA